AAACTTGGAATAAAAATCAATAGAGCACACTTGACCCTGAGTCCAGGGGTGCCAGAGATCACTGGGATTAGAGTCTCCAGGATGAGGCAGGGGCATCTGCACAGTTAGCATGTCCCAGGTGATTCTTGTGACTGGGAGACACTGGATTCGTGCCGATGAATTGATAAGACCTGGCTCCTTCGTTATAAAGAGATTCAGAGAAAGTGTACCCGTGATTAAAATACTAGAAGATTGGCCTTAGAAGATTTAAGGGAGTAGGAAAGTTAAGGGAGTTGGATTTATTAGCCTGTAAAAAAAATGGAAACATGATTAAATAGTTATTTGCAAAAGAATGAAAGTTTTATAATTGAAAAAAAAAATTTGCTAAGTCAAGAGAGATTTATGTTGATCAGGAGGAGGAAAATCCTGCTAAAATGAGCGACAGAACCAGCATTTGCTAGGCACGACAGGGCGAGTAATAAAGGCTGTCGTCAGTGCCTTCAGGGAGCTGAAGACAAGGAAACAAAACAAGCACGCACCGCGCTCTGGAACAAAAGCCGGGACACAATATTTCATCAAGTCTAGACTGTGGGCTTCAGTCAGATGAGTAGGCGGTCCTCTGGGACACAATGGTGGAGAGAAGCAGAGAGAGGTCACCATGAAAAAGTTGACGAGCCTACAGGGCTTGAAGTAGGCTTTAGAAGGAAGCCTTTTCATAGGCGGTTGGGATGACAGAATATTCTAAAGCAGTGGCATCCAATGTATTTTATTGAGATTCCCCAGGAAAAATACATATTTTATATCACCACCCAGGACACACATACATAATCAAAAGTTTCATAAAACATTTAACTTTATTAAATATGATGCAGCTGATGTTTGCTGTTTTTTTTTTTTTTTTCTAATTCATTGTTTTAAATGTTGGATTAACCCGCTCGTAGGTGGAAAATGCCATTCTGAGGGGACCAGGAGCCCAGTGTGGAGGCAGAGCTAATCACGAAGCTGCCCTATGGAGGAAATGCCATTTAGAGGAGGGGATTTCCGTGGGAGGTGGTGAGGGGGGTGAGGTATTGTTTGTGTGGCGGTGGGGTGGTGGTCTCTAGAAGACTTCCCCAATTCCAGAGCATGAGTGAATTACTTTGGGTCGTTATGGTAAAATTTCACACTTCACCTATCATATGCTCTACTTCTTACACAAAACACCTCTGACACCAAGTGGTTTTCTTTATACCCACAACCAATTCTCCAACTCTTCGGGCACCAACTAGGTGTCTGGTGATGCAATTCAGTTCTGACACTAGTGGTCTGGAGGTAGCATCAGACCCCACAGTTAAGGACTCAGTCCCACAAAATTGCTCCCACTTCAGATGCCATCTGCAATTCCCGGGCCAGTCTGACCAATTAGCTATAAAGTCATAGTCAGGGGGAGTGGAGGTTCCCATAGCCCGCTCCTCAGGTTTGATCATTTGCAAGAACAGCTCGGAGAACTCAGAAAGGTATGTTTCTTACTATTACCAGTTTATTACGAAGGATTACAAATCAGGAACCGCCAAATGGAAGAAATGCACAGGGCAAGATAGGGGATGTGTGTGTGGGTGCGTAAGTGAAAAGCGTCTGCTCTCTCCAGGATCATCTTCCCAGCACCTCCTTGTGTTCATCACCCTGGAAGCTCCCTGAACCCTATGGTTTCAGGGTGGTTTAGGGCTTTTTATGGAGGTTCCACTTCGTAGGCATGATGGATTAGATCATTGGCCATTGGTGATCGACTCAGTCTCTAATCCCTTTCCCCTCCCTGAAGGTGGGGGTGGGGCTGAAATTTCTAACCCTCTAATTTACATGGTTGATTCTCCTGGCAACCAACCCGCATCCTGAAGATGTCATTAACATAAACTCCTGTAGGGGAGATTATTATGAATACAAAAGATACTCTTCACCCTTATCACTCTGGAAATTCATGGATTTTAAAAGCTCTAGTGCTAGAAAACAGGGACAAGGACCAAGTCTACAATTCTTATATCACAATATCACAACCTATTTATCTGACCAACCCTACTGTTGGACGGTATATTGGCCAAGGTAGCTTTTTAAGATTCCTTTTGATGCTTGGTTTCAATTTAGTACCACTCAGCAGAGGGATAGAGACAGGTGAAAAGAATTTGCTTGTAGATTCTCAAGAGCAATGACATTAAAAGTATTTATTAAACATCTGTTCTATTTCATTTTGCAGATGGCCATGGAATCTTTGGTATGGAATGTGGTGCTGGGTAGAATGGTTTTATAGGAGAAAATATAGGGACTATCTCCATGGGCAGGTATAGGAGAGGAAAGCGATAGCACCTTGAAAACCATGCTTTCTGGAAGAAACATGGTATAGCCTGTTGTGCATATCAGAACTACCCATAAGTATAACCAGCTGCCTGGCCCAGGACTAGAGAGCTCTGTCACATTAGCATCCCCTCCTTATGAGGGCTGGCTAGCAGTCTGGGTAATGTGTTTTCAGAATCTGGATTCCTGGCTTAGAGAGAGGACAAATTGGGATACCTCTTGTCTCCACTCTTAGCATAACTTGTGTGAGAATTTTAAGAATAAACTCTCACTTTCTTTCCTCATTTCCTGACCAATGATCTACTTTCTCCCCCAGTTTCTTCTTCAGGTGTGCCCTTGTTTTCCTGATGGGTTCTGAACTGATCTCTTGGCTCAGACTCTAAGGCCGATATATAGCACCCATCCGTTTCCTTCCTCCTGCTTACTATGAATCCTGTCTGCAGCATATCCAGGTTGAATGGTGGTATAGGTTATTTATTAAATCTTTGTGTGTGTGTGTGTGTGTGTGTGTGTAACCTTGTTCTCTTTGCCTTATCTTTTCTAACAGAAAAGTAACTTCTGGCCTGCAGTGAAGAGAAACTAGATAAAAGAGAAGTATTTTAGACCTCAATGTGCCATTGACCTTGTCCTCCAGAGGGTGGGGGAGAAGGGATCTTTCTTGCTGTGTCCTATAGAAATTGAACTCCCTAAATATCCACATGTAACTAATTTTAGGGAACCCCTATAACTAGATTTTTCTCTACCCAAGAGTTGAGTTTCTTAGTGGCACTGAAAAGGAAAATCCTTTCATGTGGCTTTTCTTTGCTTAAATACTTTCGATCATATCCTCTGGGGTTTAATATCCTTTTGATCTTCCCTATCCAGTTTTAACTTGGTCAGTTTAAATTAGGGAAGGATTTAAAGACAACACTAATAATGTAGCTTGGGGGTCATGTAAATTGGAATCATTGGTCCTGAATGTACTTTATAAATTTTTTGTTTTGTTTTGGCTTGCAGAATGCTGTTTGGGGGAAGTCTGTTTCTTGGTGTTGGCTACATTTTGTTCTTAGGTAAAGCTTCCCATTCTACCACCAAATGCTTGTGCTTAGGGTAGTGTATTTACTGTGTATTGTGTTCTGCAGTAGGAAACCCGATTTGCCTTTGTGCAAAGACAAATCTCTAGCAAAGTTTGGTTGGGGGGCATTTTATAGATTACATATTTTGAGCTTTAGAGGAGGAATCACAGTGGTCATCGGTCCAAAACCTTGAAAAACTGAGGTACTGAGAGGTTTTGGGTGACTTGAGGTCTATAGCATGGAAGTATCAATCTAGAGTTCTGGAATTCTAGTTCATGCAGCCTAGCGGACAGACTTCTGATTTTTGTTTAAACCTAGCTCCTCATTCCTGTGTTCTTGCACTCAGTGGTGGCCATGGGGAGGAGAGAATCCTGAGAAATGGGAGTGGCCCAGTCCTGAGACTCTCTCAAAGTAAATTCTGTACCTAAACCCTGTACACGTCTACTTTACCCCTCCATGGCCTTTGGCTTTCTCTCAGGCCCTGCCTCTACGCTGGGGTGGAGAGGTACCTGGGACATCTTGTAGATCTACCCTTGCTGTATCAGAAGGTGGAGCCCTACTGGGTTTCCCAGTTCCATCAGCGCAGAGAGATTGGGAACATGCTCCGAGAGTTGGATGAGTGTAGTCCTGTAAAATTCTCTCTTGTTAACTGTTACATTCCCACTGTCTCCTCTCTCTGCCTCCATGCAATGGTGTGTGGCAAAGCCTTTAAAATGAAATGCCTAGAGGTTCTTATCTTCAGAGGCCACAGGAAGCAGAGAAACTGTAGAGCTGAATGTAGAATGTTTGGGGGAGGGAGAAGGAATCTCTTCAAGGGTGTTGGTATCCATAGCAGGAAGGGCCAGAAAGTGGATTTATAGGAGAGGTCTGGAGGGCAGGCCAGCCTGCAGAGTGACCCAGGGGCTTTGATGTGCCCCCCGGGATCTTTTGTCCCTGCATTAATCTTGTATACCTCATACACCTCTCTGTCATAACTCTTCTTCAGTCACTAATTTTATTCTCTCACTCCTCTGCTCCAAAACCTTCAATGGCTCACTGCTGCCTTTTCACATGTGAAACTTCTCGGTCTTATACTCAAGGCCCATTTGCTCTTATATGGAGATCTTCTCTTTTCCTTTGTAAAAGTCAAAGCCAACTTTTATATACATGAAAGCTTTCCTGTCACTGTGGTTTGTAGAATTAATTCTGTTGAGGTTGGGGGTTTAGCAGTGGTGGAGGCTTTGCTCAAAGCTGTTTGTTGTCTAATAGCTTGCTCAGGAAGAAGTTTTGTTTCTCATGAGACTTTGTAGAGGCCGTAGCCTGGACAACTACTTAAAATCATTATACGGCTCGAAAATCTGGCCAGTGAACAGGCCAGAAAGGGTGGCAGTGAAAGCGGATGAAGAATTGTGTGTAAATAAACCATCGAGTAACCTTGAGCTGTTGGCCAGTTTGGTTGTCTACACTGCAGGTCCAGTGAGCTGTGGACCAGGTCAAAGGCCAGTATTCTGAGGAGCCAGCTGTCAGAGTTTAGCTAGAAACAAGCTAATGTGTAAACTGGCCTTGAGGTCTTTTTAAGCTGCTTCATTTTCCCAGCGTCGGTGAAAAGAGGGGACTTTATTTCAGAGTTTGCTGGCCAGCTGCTGTTTCATTGAACTATTGATGTTTTCTTTTGGGAAGCCGGTCTTCTTGAGTGTCTCCACGGTGAAGGGGAAGGTATCTGATCTGGGGGCAGGTTTTGATTTCAGTGACGGGAGGACGGGGGTCCTGCTGGTCAGTATGGCTTCGGCCACTGTTGTTCACTAGTTCTGCGTCTCCCCTTTGCTCCACAGACCAACGAGTGGAACAAGAATGATGACCGGCTGCTACAGGCCGTGGAGAATGGAGACGCGGAGAAGGTGGCCTCCCTACTGGGCAAGAAGGGAGCCAGTGCCACCAAGCAGGACAGCGAGGGCAAGACCGCGTAAGCTAAAAAATTGGTTTCTAACTGTAACGGTTCTGGGTTCTCAGAGTGTTCTCTGGAAGCCCTGGGATCCATAGGGGAACTTCACAAGTGTGTTTAAGGGGACTTTGTGAAACTACTGTCCTCCCCCACTCCTCCTATCCCTCGTGTCAAAATATGGAAGACGCTATTTTAATTTGGTCCCTATTTCCTCAAGTTTCAAGTTATACATTGGGCTTTACCTTGGATGGCTATGTTTGTTTTCAAGTACCATTGAAGATTACACCAGAGAAGAAATAGCATGAGGATTATAACCCATTGATAGGTGAAAAAGGAATTCTATCCTCCATATGAAGCAGCCTAAGAGAGGGTATTTTTTTTCATAACCCTCAAACCTTATAATTTATATTATTACTTCTTTTAAAACCCTTTCCTTAATGTAGATCAGTAATTACATGAGTAGTGTGAATTTTGCATTATGATTTGCCATTTATGGTAATCTTGCCCACCGTAATTAAAATTACATATTTAATGTGTGTGTGTGTGTGTGTGTGTGTGTGTGTGTGTTTATGTTTATTTGTATCTGCTCTTACTCCGGTCATATTGTAGAGAGGTCATTGACTTTGTAGCTAAATAGACTTCTAATCTGGACTTCATCACTTATGAATTGTGTAGTCTCTTTTTAAAATTGATTTATTTTGAGAGAATGAGAGAGAGAGAAAGAGAGTTTGGAAGGGGCAGAGAGGGAGAGAGAGAATCATAAGCAGGGTCCGTGCTCTGTGAACGAGCCCAATGTGGGGCTTGATCTCATGAACTATGAGATCATGACCTGAGCCAAAATCAAGAGTCAGATGCTTGACCGACTGAGCCACCCAGGTGCCCCGAATTGTGTCATCTTTGAATCTTAATTTATTCAATTTAAATTGGAGATGACGATATTTAACCACTAGGGTAGTTATGAATATAAAACAAGATACTGAGTTGGGTTGGGTGCCTCCAGAAGCAGGTTCTGAGACAAGGATTTGAGTGTAGGGAGTTTCTATAGCCACTGATCCCAGGAGCATGCAGAAGAGGACTGAAACCTACATGGTGTGTTATTGACAGGTAACTGCTGTGGGCAGCTGGAACCCAATCCTGCTGAAGACCTCTGGGAGTCTTCTTAGACTCAGAGCAGGGGTTGGCCAACTGTGGCCCGCAGTCTGCCTTTGTAAATAAAGTTTTATTGGGATGCAATCAAATCCATTTATTTAGCATTGTGGCTGCAAAGGCAGATTGGAATAGTTAAGACAAAGTCTGTGGCTCACAAATCCTAACATATGAGCTCTCTGGCCCCTTGCAGAACTAGTTACCCTACCCAAGGGGGTAAGGAAACTGGGGTGCCTATTCCCATTCACTTGTCCCTCCAAGGTTGAATGCTGCTCCTAGGGCCTGTAATGCTCATGGGCAGAACAAGCCCAACAGGTTATGAAAGGGGCACCTGTAGCTCTAGATAACATATGTAAAGAGTTAGCAGTGGCCCATAGTAAGTATTGATAAACCCAGTTCCCTTTCCTTCTCCTGGATGAGTAGTTCTCAATCCTGGCAACTCCTGCATTAGAGTCACCTGGGGTACTTAAAAAAAAATATTGTTCCCACGCCCACCCCACATGTTTGGAAACATTTTGTGGAGAGGCCCCAGAATCAATATTTTTAAAAGTATCCCATGTAGGTTTAGCCAGAGAGAACTATCCTCTAGAAACTAGATGGACTCTAGATAGAAGGATAAATAGAAGAAAAGGCAAATTTTCCCGAGATTGAGCATCACATTTTAGCAAATTTTGTCAATGAAACCATCCCCCTGGCACCCATTGAATCCCGTAGCATACACACCAGTTCTATTGTTTGAGGAGCCACAGGATGGCATACAGACCTATGCTGTATCTGGGGAGCAGGCTGGTTGGTACACAGGGGAAGAGGGAGGTGGGAGGTGTTCTCACTCAGATTAGGGCCAGGTCCTCTAGGAACTGGGCTTGTCCTCTCCGCCAAAGCCCCGGGTTGGGCTCCCCACCGTCAGCAGCCTCAGCTTGACTTTCCACCTTTGCAGAGGCCTGTCTCTCAGGTGTGGGGTGCAGGACCGCATCCCCGTAGGTTCTGACTTGGTAGTCAGGACTCCAAATAGCTGGCGGGCTTTAGTTGTTGGCTAATATTTTGTTGTGTGAGCTGCTTACTCAGAGTTCTATGATTTTTGGTTCTCAACCCTCTTGCACTCCCGATTGGAATTTCTTTGACAAAAGGGACTGTTACTTTGTAGCTCATCTACCCCAGTGCTCAGCTTGTACATAGGTACTCCCAAAATATCTGTCCAATGAGTTAATTACCCTTTTCCCAGGATGCCACATTTGGAGTCAGTGCTTTCGGAGCCCCAGTGACAGAAGTCACGGTGTTAAACGTGTCCTGAGGTTTTTGGTGGTAGACTGCTTGTCCCACCCTACAGCCTTCTGGGCTCCTACTGCTCCTAGTTCAGCTCTGCAGATGCCTGCACAAAACAGACTATGATAGCCATCCCAGAGAGAGGGGGATAGAGGCTTCTGATAGGCTTGTCCAAGACTGTACTCACTAAAAAGAAGACGGAAAATTTAGGTTAGCAGCTTAGCCACAGTTGTGATCACCTTCATAGTCTTTTGGGCATCTGGGTGGTGGTTAAGCATTCAACTCTTGATTTCTGCTCAGGTCATGATCTCACGGTTTGTGAGTTCGAGCCCCGCATTGGGCTCTGAGCTGACAGCATGGAACTTGCTTGGGATTCTCTCTCTTTCTGTCCCTCCCCCACCCCTTCCTCCCTCTCGCTCTCTCTCTCTCAAAAATAAATATTTTTTAAAAATTGGTTTTTAAAAATTTTAAAAAAATTTTTTAAAAAACTACCTTTTGTTAGTAAGACATTTGTCACATGTAGGGTAGAGGGCCAGGCAGTTGATTTCTCCTTTTTTGTTGTGGGAAAATATACATAACATAACTGTACCACTTTAACCATTTGAAAGAATGCATTTCATTAAGTACATTCATAGTGTTGTGCAGCCATTCATCATTTAGTCCAGGAAATTTTTCATCATCCCAAAAGGAAAACCTTGCACTCTGTATGCAGTGACCCTCCTCAGCCTCCTGCCACCTCCCCCTGGCAAACACTCGTCTGCTTTCTGTCTCCCTGAATTTGCCTCTTCTGGGTATTTCACGTAATGGCATCAAACCCTTGTGTGTGGTTTTTTTCGCTGAGCGTAGTTTTCAAGGTTGATTCTTGCTGTAGCTCCAATCAGCACTTCAGTCTTCTCTTCTGATGGTGGAAATGCACACAGCAGTTACACACAAATCACCACCTGCACTTTGCAGTTGATAAAGCCAAGACTTGCATGATACAGCTCTCCCTGCATTGACTCCAGAACCAGTTCTGCCTTTGCCTTTGAACTTGTAAGTCTACCGTGTTTTGCTGTGGTGACCCCTATGGAGAAAGTTAGAGGGACTATAAGAAAAAGGAAGAGGAAATACTTATTTTTTCAGTGTGAGATTTTTCATAAATAACCATCTGGTAACATTTCATTTTTCTGCTTGGAATATTCCTTAGAATCAAAGTTGCTAAGTGTTAGCCTATAAGAATTTAATTTTCAGAGGCACCATGGAGTTAGGTCTATCTGGCTTCATATTTTCATTCAAATCTAGTGGTCTTAGTATGCAGAACAAGGGGGCACCATGGGGTCTGAAACCATGCCTCCTGCCCCTTTGGTATCACGGAATCCCGCGAGGCCGAGAACTCTGTGGAAACAGAAACCCCAGGCAGTGTTGTTCCCTTGGCTTCTGCCCTGTCTCCTCTGGACGTCTGCACTTCTGGATTTGGATCAGTCTAATCTGTGCACTCCTGCCTGAGTGTATGTGTATCTCCCTCACACTTGGAGATTTTTCTCAAGCTGTGGAAACTTTTCCTGTCTTGTTCTTTCCACATGCGTCGGTTTGGTAGCGTGCAGGCCGGTAATTTCCTAGGAGTAGTTCTGGGTCCATGACAGGCCGGTATCGTGTGTCCCCTCTTCTGAAGCTCTTGGCTCCATTGGCCCCTTGGAGGTTGCTGGGCCAGCGTGTGTTTGTGGATGTGTATGGAGTGATTTGCAGTGTCTCTAAAGGGTAAGCCCAGGTCACACACTGCAAAGTTAGGTACTTGACTGTACTTGGTCTCATTCTCTGCCTACGCGTTTGGGTTTAATCTTTGAGTTATACACCTCCCTGTCCAAATTAGGCTGGAGGCCTCTTTCTAGCGAGCTTTTGCAAGAACTCATTTTGTAATTTTGTTCAGTAATGCACACTGTTTCCCTATTGCCTGACCACCTAGAGTCCTGATTTGGGCTTTCAAGGCCCTCTCAGTGGCCCTGCTGTTACTTCACTGAATGTTCTCTTGCCCTTGCCTTCCACTGGTGGTGGGGTGTTGGCTCCCAGACTTCCTCTCACGTTTGCCCGGGTTCTGTGTCCAGTCCAGAATGCTTCCTCTCTGATGGTCTCAGTCATCTAAAAAAAATTTCCTTCTCTTTGAAATACTGGAATCTTGATTTATAACTTGATACATTTTATCATATCAAAAGAATAAGAACAACATCAGAAAAGCCTCTACAGCTTGAAACAAAAACTTTGTTTTCTGAAGACTTGAATCCCTTACAACAACAGTAAGCTCCCTGAAGACCAGGCTCACGTGATTGTTGTTGTTGTTGTGTTGGTCTCTCCCACAGTTCCAAGCATAGAAGACAGGCATTCAGTCGGCATTTGTGGACGTGACTTTTCAGCATGAAGAAAGCGTTCTTTTTGTTAATGATCTGTCACGGGTAAATTAATTAGGAGTGGATTAAGTTGGGGTTCAAGAAGAAAAGGACTATCCTGGTGAACGTCACAACCTGACACTTCTCTTCTCCCAGCTTCCAGTGCAATTTAAATAAACACTCAGCCTTCAGTACCTAGAGAACCAGATGACTCAGAAAATCCCAAGAATGAAGTGGCAAAGGCAGCCAGCC